GCATAAACGTGACCTACTACCGCGGAAGGGCGTGGAAAGTATGGAGGTGGCGACCGGGTGAAGTGGATTGAAGGGAAGACAGTACTCTATTTTAAGGTCAGCTGCTATCGCAGGCGAGTTTCACGACGCGCTTACATAGTCGCCTTCTAGACTGTGTATTGAATCAAGCCCGCTGACATCCTTTCGGCGTAACGCAATAGTTGCTGAGTAAGTCTCTTGTCGTAACAAACCTAGTTGGTATTGATCATACAGACTGCCGGGTGAAACTCACCTGGCTTGAATGATCAGTCCCAATACGGGCCTAAGACTCTTGTCGAAGGAGAGCATTGATGCTGCAGCATTGCGGGTGGCAAGGAGGTCGTTGAAGGGCCGGCATTGAACAGGAGACATAGTGCAGCAAGCGCAAGTTCTACCACATGCATAGCATGCAGCGCAAAGCATCACTCCGGCTGTTTCTCCTGACGTGTTGATTGCCTCGTTGTCTGATGCAAGTGCTGTTGTAATTGAACACCGGTCACACTTGAGACAAGATTGGAAAATATTGGCCCCGCAGAAATTGCATGACACCGGATCAATGCTTGTATGGAGGAACATATGATGTGCTGGGTCGTATTCCTCGATGAGGATGTGGTCAAACAGATCAATGAGAGCTTTCAGCTGTGCGCCATTTCCATCAACCAGAGGGAAGACAAACAAGCCAATACTCCTGTATACAGTGGCTCTGATATGGTAGCGCTCCGGCCGGCAAACGCTGTGAGTTGTTGAGCCGTCTTATTCAAACCACGGCTGCACTGTCCAAATATACTCACCGCTAATACACTGGCAACTCATCATGGAAGGCTAGATACAATGACTTGAGGGACATGCGGGACCATGCAACCTTGATAGTCAGTCCACCTTTGTTCGCGACCTGATGACAGCTTTTTGGAGGTATGAGTACAAGGTCACCCATTTTTTGCACTGTTTCGTATATTGGGAACGATGCGCTAGCCATCTGCTCATGGGTCAGCCGACGCGACTCCCAGTCAACTTTGGCCCCTATATGTTGTCGAAAGAACAAGCTGGCATGGTGAGAGTCCCGTGTGGACGTCATGTACCATCGAGCTTTGCCCCCCTTTTCCGCAAAACACATCAGGTTGTGCCCAACAGACATACATGCATCCTTGTGAAGCGGCATATAAGACCCTGCGCTACCTATGTAACACATGGTAGTATCCACTGGCATCTAATATCCACTGTCAGAGGTACCGGGGCTTATCTCAGAATAGCCATACCTCTGGACTCAGGTGCGCCGTGTAATCAGAGGCACCATAAGGCAACAGAGCACCTAGAAGTAAGTCTTCTCTGAAAAGCATACTGTACCACAAATCTGGGCATGGAAGGTCCTTGTTATGGACATTGGGACCTCCTATGCAAATGGGTGTGGTGAGGAGATGGTTAACAAGGAGCGACCTGATGCACCTTCAGCTTTGATATTGAACTGCCTTCTCACGTCCTCAATCAGAGATTTAAGCAGTTTGGAATCATCACTGTGATATGTAAGATCTCTGAAATCTACCTCTGCAAAACGTCAGTCCTTGGCATGAACATAATTGCTTGAATAGCCCTCGCCTTTTTTGCCATATGCCGATTTCTTGAGCCAATTTGGGCTAAGGACGTTTGAATTCCATGCTTTGTAAGCATGCCAGCCTTCTATGACCAGTGGTTTGCCGTTTTGCACAAATGAGCCAATGGCATCTAGCAACATCTCTGGTTGCACAGACGCAAGGACTCGCTTCACTTTTGAGAATCCGAGGTTCTGAGCGTGTTCAGCGGATGTTGGTTCTTTGTGCATAATTAGCCAATGTTGTAAATGAAGTACGAAGGCTGCAGGTCTCAGGGACGGTATATCTCAGTGGTCCGAAGCTAGAGACTGTGTGAACAAGAGCTTTAGAACACAGGTGGGCTGACAGTGCTAGCTGGCGGAGCACTTTGATCATTAGAACTTCAGGCTCCCGGCATCCATATGGTCTCACGCATCATGGCCCACAACAAAAGAGAGCCAGAGGTGATGAGAATGACATCCAAGCCTCTTGAACATGAGAATGTAAGAAAAGACAAGATGCAGATGGGGCTGATATAGTTGTTTGCTTGTGCAACAGGCAATATGCCAAGATGGAGGCCAAGGAGACCAACACAGTTCGATCGACGTATTATACACAAAATAATGAGAAAGCAGCAGTGCATACACAGGAGGGCTAGGGCTAATTTCGCTAATCAATAGATCTACATGATAAGATTGGAGAATGGGCAAAGAATTGGGCAATAGATGACCTGCACTTTATGGCTCAGTTGGTAGCTCTAGATGACGGAAGACCTGATCCACCTGATCCGATAGATGCGAGAGCTTCTTCAATACGAGCTGGATACTGTCACTCATCTGCATGCTGGCTAATCCTTGCCACATGTCAGTGCAGTCTGTGACAAGATTAATTATTGTTGTAGGAAAATTGGTGGCACAGGGACTCACATTTCTTATAAACCTCGTCGCACTTCTGGGTATGGTCGTCCATAGGTAATGCAAGGTTCATGCATGGCGTCTGTTCATGCGCGGCATCTTTGTACTCTCAGAGGTTGTCGCTCGGGCATTTTGCAGTGAAGGCGAGCTTCAACACTTGAAGAAGCGGCGGTTACATCGTTAGGCATGTTCACATCCCCGATGCGCATCTTCTTCCAGGAGGCGATACTTGACTCGGTGGGCCATTGCATGCTGGGCTTGTGTGTCTGGGAGAAGTCTTGTGATGCGCCACTCGTCTGTTCGTAGAGCGAGGCTGGGTCTTCTGTCGACACTTTACGCTGCTTACCGCCTGCACTAGAGGTATTATCCACAGGGCCATGTCCCTTGCCTGAACGAGTTATAAACCCTTCGAAACCACAGGTGGTGGAGGGAACAGAATCATGTTATACAATCATCTTGTGAGAATGGAGTGCGAGCAGTGCTAGCAGAAAGATGAACTATTAGAGTCTCCATACTGATGGAGTCATGCTGCTCTGGTGTAGGACTTGGTTGTCCTTGGACGTGATTATAAGGAGCATCCTCCCAGCCACGATCGAGAGTGGGAGCGAATTAACAACCCAGCCTGCCTACACTGCATTCCAAACACCATGAGGCTTATGAGCCTTACACTGTACAAAGCACTGCCAACTGTGCTCCTTGCACTTGTCGCATCGACTATTTCTGAGCTATGGGCATTTTTAAGCCTTGTAGTTCACAATGCAAGTAAAATTCATTACCATCTCCCTATCATAGCGCTCAAAGTTATAATTTGCCGCCTTTGTGAGATTTCGCTGCATTGGAGGGATGTCCTTTGGCTTCCGCCCTGGCTTCTTATTTGCTTTTGCATCGCCCTAAGTGAAGGTTAATCTATCAGAGTTACACCCTGCATTTTCAGAGTACGATGTTAAGAAGAGAGTGCGTACGTCTTCAGTAATTTTCTTCGGCTCAACATTGTCTGGCACTAGAGCCTCCTTAAATGTCAGCACAGAAGAAGTGTAAGTATTCATGTCCTCCTTGCTTAAATCGCCTGGAAGCAGCTCTCCGGCTGGGTATTCTTCCTTTCGCTCAGCACTATTATGCACACCACGGTCAGGCAGCTCTTGTGGTGGTAGCATTTTATCTTTGGAGTCATGGAAGGTCTTCTGGGGCTGGGAGGCTACGGTCACCAATGGTGCAGGCAACGTCGTATGATGGGGATCTGACGCCAACATCAGGGATGGATTGTCACCGTGGGCAGTGTTCACAGCAACTGATATTCTTGGTAACATAAACTCCGCGTCCGCAGAGCCCTGAGACAGAGCATGAATGTTGGGAAGTACCAGTTCCTTTAGTACCGTAGGCTCACTCTCCTGGAATTGGAGGAAAGCATGTGACGGCAGTGTTGATGTAGGTGGTGTCGCCCCAGGTAAAGCTGATGCAAGTTCTGATGAGTGGTCCACCTGATCAAACATGCTCAACAGCAGGAGAAGGTCTACAGGTGGATGTGATTGTGGCGCCTCCGATGAACTGCGCTTATCTTCAGCAGCCTCGCTAGAATGCTGCATCTGCGATGACACAGGAGGTAACAACATGGAAGGCGCAGATGGTGTTGATACTGAGGACAGTCCTGCAAGAACAGTCCCTCTCGTCATTTGCTGCACACCAGACATGGTAGATCCACTCTCAACATGCAAAAGCCGATTCTGCATAGTGTTTTTGGCACTATCAGAAACCTATGTAGTGGAGTGAACCTCTGTAGTGTTTAGAGCGACTTCATCTTCAACAAAGAGGAACGAATTGAAAGCCATAGATTCGTCAGCTCCAAACTGGATCGGAGAGTAGGGGGGGAGGGGCTCTTCTGCACCCTGCCCGATGACTGGATCATCGATAAGCGAAGACAGAGGGTCTGTAGAGGGCACATTGGCAGTGGACTGGGATAGAACGCGCAGGGCAGTCACATTATCTACAGACTGAGACGAAATTAATTTAAGATGTTAATTTTCTGCAGCGTGCATATCAAGTCGCTTGTCGAAGGTGGAGATGGGGCATATCCAGTGGGCTCGTCGTCGGCAGGCTGGAACGGATTTTGCATGGCAAACTTGCTCTCGATGGGCTTTGATGGGGCCGACGCAGTGACCTGACCTCTGTCGGCCTGTTTGCGGTGCTCGTTGAGAGTCCCGCCTTGGGGAAGCAGAGACGAGGCATGTCCAGCGAGCTCATTGTTGGCAGGCTGCAGCAGGTTTTGTATGGCGAGCTCTGACAAGGCCAATGCAGAGACCTGTCTCTCCGCCACCTGCCCGTTGTGCCTATCGAGAGGCTTGCTTTTGCTAGATGGAGATGGCGCATGCTCAACAGACTCGTGCCTAGCATACCAGTATGGGATGTGCGAGGTAGTTCTGTTATCGACAGGCTCAGACAAAACCGACGTGGGATGCTGGTCTTCTGCAGCCTTTGTGACAGCCTGATATTCCAAAGGTGGAAACGGCCTTGAATTTTGAGAGCAAAGCTCTCCTTCAGCGGCCTTGGTCAAGTGATGTTCAGACTGTGTGGGCTGTCCAGCGTCCTGGCTCTGCAAATATGAGGATCCATTTCAGCGGCATGATTTCTGGCAGATTTCAGAAAAGACGCACGTGTATCGTGATTCTGTAGGGAGCCAATATCTTGTTGGCAAGTTCCTTAGAGATTTCTGTTATGAGTAACTTGTGATCTGCACTGCGTAGCTTCGTTGGCCTGGCCTTCCCCTGTCGCTCTATTCTCAGAGCAGCCGAAACCTGCAAAGGCCAGTATTTCAGCACTTTGACATCTGTCGCCACTATTGCTCTCTGTAGCAACTTGACAAAACAACGTGAGTGGCAAGTGCGTAATGGGTAGACAGAAATACTGAGCTTACAATCCAGATCTTACCCAAAGTCTTGTTTAGCTGATCGAACTCCTTCTCTCCTTCTCCTCCTCCTCCCCCTTCTTCTCCTCCTCCTCCTCCTCCTTTCCCTTTCCTTTTCCCTCTGCCATTCTCTCCTCCATCCCCATTTTCTTATCTTCACCATTCTCCTTCTTCTCCTTCGCTCGTTTCAGAGAGAGAGCATTGTACCAAGCCTGGTACATAGCACACTCTGGAGTTAGAATATGCTCCTGCTGAGCAGGAGTGCCAGGCATCGCTCGAAGGATAAGACTGCCTGGATCGCACCTTCGTGTGAGGTTGACTTTTCGCTGAGGTGTGCAACATAATATCACAAGGTAATTTCTGGCGGAGTTTAGATAAGTGCTGTGTGCCTGGTCACATGCAGGTTCTCGCTTTCGGGTGGAATTCCAGAAATCTAGATTGGTTTCTGATTCCCCTAGAATCGGGTTATGGACCGAATCATGTGTGCTCAAAAGTCACGTGACAATCAGCCATTGCACCTGAGCTTGCGCTAATGCGCTGCGCCTCTATCGGCCATTGCACCCAAGCTTGCCCTAGTGTCCCAGCCTGATGTTGTGTAACCCAAGCTTGCACTAATAATGTGCTAGCCGGTGTTTATGAGACTAATTCCCAAGCCGTTCCTCACTCGAAACCCACAAGCGTCACGAGATTTAAAAGATTTATTGGTCTTCAAAGTGTATAGAACATGTCCATACAAATTTTAATGCTTACAAAATTACCCCTCACCAGGCACCCAAGCTTGCGCTATTGTGCCAGCCTGATGTTGCGTACTGGCATCTATGAGTGTAATTCTAATGCACGAACAAACTCGCCATTGCTCACTTGAAACCCACGAGCGTCGTGAAATTTAAAAGATTTATTGCTCTCGAAGGTGCATCGAACATGTCCGTACATAATTTAATGCTTACAAAATTACCTCTCACCATTTATGTTGCTGGAAAATCTTCCAGTCCCTAGGGCGCTTCTGGTCAGCTGACAGCAGCATGGATTCGTAAGCAAAGCTTCTGGCCGTCTACTGCTCCCAGCCCACTGTGGCATTTTGGGCCTCTTGCATTTTCTGTGGAGTGACCGTCAGCCTATTGCCGCTTTCGAGCATTTGCAGCCTCTCTTTTGGCTCTGGCCTCATCTTTCCCCTCACTCTCCAGATATCTGTCCTTAACAAAGATGATTCTAAATGCATCAAAATTCCTGTCCTGAGCCCCTTGTCCAAGCTACTGCCATGAGATAATCAGATTACACTTGATGCACCATTAGATAAATGAATGTTATATCAAAAAGATCGATGCCCTAATCATATGTAAGATAATATAAGCATTGTTCATGCGTGAAGTACATACCATCCCGAAAGAGTCTGTTGCACATAGGCCCTGGCAGGAGTCTCTGGTGCAAAAATGTCCCAGCTCCCACAACCTCATTGATGTTGTCAAAGAATGCGACAAACTTGCATGAGTTGTCATCTCCTTCTTTCCAGTCATCCGGTACTAGAAACACTAGGTTGCAATAGCTGTTGAGTGTGTGCTCTATTTTCGGAATGTCAATATGCACGTTGGAACAATTATTCAGCCAGCAGATGTGTACAAAGTTTCTGGTAGCAAGACCAAAAGACTTTTTGATCTCATCACAGATTGGTGGCAAAAATGTTGCCAAAGCAAAAGCAAAAGGAGTCTCAGGGAGCAGATACTGCAACCTGGAGATCTCATTGTATTCAGGCTGAAAAGAACCCCATTAAGTGATACAATGGCCCTTGTCAAACACTACAGATATGATCCAAGCTCAGAATGTGAGATCCTTAAATAAGCTCTCAAATCCTCCATCCCACTTGACAAGCTGCTCTAGGCTGGCTATAACGACAGTGTACTTGCCATCAGCAATATCCTGCGTGATATATCTTAGCTAACACTGCTGGGATCACTAAAAACTCACTTCACCTTAAAATTTTGTTTAGTGGCTGTATCTCCTGTGATTGCTAAAGCAGGAATACTAGCAGCTTCAAGCTGGGCTATATTCTGTGCAGTCAGAACATTAAGAGCAGTGATAACAATAAGAATCTGGCCAGGCGCTGCAAAGAGAGCTGGTATATAGAAGGCCAAAGTCTTTCCTGATCCCATGCCAACATCGAGAATGGTGTGCTTCTTATTCCAGGCAGCTTCTCAAAGCTAATACTGCCAGTGACAGCTATGCATGTCAAACACAGCTCGCACACATTGGCAGACCTTATGAATTGTCAGAAGTCTGGAAGGTAGCGAGTTGCCAGATGTAGGGTGAGCCATTATGAAACTTGTTGGCAGAACACGATAACATGTGTGTAGGCAGATTTGCACATGGCAATTCTCGTGTATTGAATTTACAGGAAATTCAAACACAAAATCATTTTTTGGACATCTGCCGATGTTGCTGATCACGCGCGCCAAGAATTTGTGCCAGTTGCCTAAGGACGGAGAGCCTTTTAAAAGATTACATGCACACTGCTGACATAGATACAAATCCCGCTAATGTAGTAGATATAAACAGTAATTACATGATAACCGATAATCAAGCAGCTCCAATAATCAAGCAAGACCAAATAACTTCTTGATGTCGTCCAAAATGAGTGGTGAGAATGTTGCAGAGGCAAAAATAAATTTGCTTTCTGGTAACAAGTACCGGAGCCTCGATATCTCACTGTATTCCGGACCAAAAGCACCCCATTGGCTAATGCAATGACCCTCATCGAAGACTACACATAAGATACGAGCATGGAAAGAGAGGTCCTTGAACAGGCGCTCAAACCCTCTGCCCCACTTGACGATCTGCTCCGGGCTAGCTATAACGATGGTGTATTTGCTATCTGCAATGTCCTAAATACTAATCAGCACTTCCTGTAATCCTGTTCAGCTAGGCTCACCTTGAAATTCTGTGCTGTCGCTGTCTGTGCTGTGATTGCTATGGTAGGAATGCCAGCAGCTTCAAACTGGGCAATGTTCTGTGCTGCCAAGACATTTAAAGCGATGACAACAATCATGAGCTGACCAGAAGCTGCGAAGAGCGCCGGAAGATAGAATGCCAGTGTTTTGCCTCCACCTGTACCAACATCGAGGACCACATGTTTGCCACTTCAGATAGCTTCCGGGACCTGGTATTGCCACTGATAGTTGCGCACGTAGAATGTTGTTTGCACATGCTGACAAACTGCATTGATAGTAGGGATCCCAGAAGATAAACAGTTGCCAGATTGAGAAGGAGGAGCCATTATAGAACCTGAACTTCACACTGGCAGCGTGTGCAGAAAGGTTGAACAGGCTTTGCTATACGTGATGTATGGAATATTCAACAAAACCGCATTGAAAATGATTATTTGGAGGTCTGCCAAAGCTGCTGATTGATGGCGCTTCACATAATGTGCCAGTTGCCTAGGGATGGAGAGCCTTCAAAAGATGACACAAAAACTGCTGACATAGTAAATGAAAATAGTAATTACAAGATAACAGACAGATAATGTTAGCGCAGATAAGATCTTTTGAAAGCCGCCATTCACAAGTGCTGGTCAGGAGTCTGCCCCCATCTATGCAATTTTCTCATCTTTGTAAATTGTGGTACACCCAGATATACTCAGACTTCTGACCAGTGCCTAAGAGACGGAAGCTTTTTCAAGCAGTAAGGACACTGTTCATGTAAGGCAACCAAACAATTGGCTGAACATTCACATCGGCGTCCAGAAGATTGAGCACGCAGTTGGCAGTTATCTTGACCTGGCATTCTTAGTCCCAAGCGGCTGGAAGGAAGGCGATGACAGCCCTTGTAAATTTGTTGCATTCTTCGATAGCATCAATGAGGCCATGGCAGCAGGCGAGTTTTTGCAAAGGCGGCTGCCTCTAGAGCACTGCGAGAAGATCCTATGGTTCCATTCCGACATGTCTGACAAATTCAAAGCTGAGGCTCTTGAGAAGCTACGCACTAGAGAGATTTGGGATCTTTGTGCAACTGACTCATTTGGGATGGTAAGCACGGTCTTTATCAATGCAAATAAAATAGCTTATATGTTTGCAGGGTGTTGATCTGCCAGATATTACACTAGTCATACAATGGCACACAAGGTGCGACTTGGTTACACTCTGGCAGTGCCTTGGTCGAGAGGCCCATAATGGCCACCTTGCTTCCATAGGCCTCATTTTTGTTGAGGATAAGTATTTTGAGTCAGAGGAAAAGGATGAGACAAGAGCAAAGAGGCAGGCAGCAAATGCATGGAAGTGGCAGTGAGAAGTGGAGGCTGAATAGAAGGTCTGAAGGCCCAAGAGGCATGCAATTGATACACTGGATGGTATCGTGATTGAAGATGCAGAGGCAAATACAGGGGATCCATCTTAGCAGGCCAGCCAGGATGACAATGATGAGCAGCTATCCTGTGCACAGCTCCATACAGAACGCAGAATCAAATACATTGAGGAAGCGAGGGCAAAGGCAGCGAAGGAGCAGGCAGAGAACGTCAGCAAGAAAGGTTGGGCAAAGAAACAAAAGCAGGTCACCTTAAATGACTTAGATCTGGAGATAGCAAATGTAATCAATGCTGGTTACCACAAGTTCAAATGCTGAAGGATTTCCATTAAGCTGTACTTTAGCAGTGACACAGTCAGTGAGAGCATCATACGAAGATGCCTTATTTGGAACTCACTGCCGCCCATTTTATATAGAGACAGACCACCTTCTCTGCAACTGCTCCTCTCTCACTGGCTGCACTCGGTGCTCTCTTCCCCTCTCTGGCTACTGCTGCGACCTCTGCCATCCCAATTATTTCAACTGAGAGATTCCCTCTATCTTACTCCAAAAACAAGTCAAGCCCCACCACTCGTGTCTCCCAAAGGACTATGTGCGAAAGCCTTGCAAAATGCTACTAATCAAGTCTCTGAAGACCTGTGTCGTGGGCATAGCCCCAGCCTCCTATTATTTTTCCATTTTCCCCGATTTTCTACGGTTTATTCCACGTTTGTACGGCCCTCCAAACATCGTCAGCGCATTAGCGCCAGTTTACAAGTCCTAGACGCGCGCTAGCACCTTGAGAACACATCACCAACGGGCACGCATCAGCTCATCAAACGCACCTGTATCGCCGCTGCCTCGTCACCGCATCACGCTTCCTCAGTAACAGCCGCACTCCGATCCCCGTTGGCCCGACAGCGTCATAAGCTATGACACACCGGCCCCTGTCTATTCCCGAGTCTGATCAGCAATGGACATCCGATCCCCGTCGGCCCGACAACGTTATCAGATATGACACGCCAGCCCTCGCTCCTCGTCAGAGTCCCCTAGATACTAGCAAACGCCCTAGCCACGACCGCTTAGGTAATGCCTGGTCCATGCGCGACCAGAACAGTATATAAAGGCCCCCTTCGTTGCTACCTAGCCCCATCTCAACCTCTTGGTTTATTGGGCTAGCTGAACAAGCTAACGCATAGTCGCCAGACCTCGTCAGCGCTGCCTTCTGATTAGATCCACGCAGTATCCCTCGTGGTGTGTCGACGCAAGTCCACATCAACCTGGTGCAAGAATGAGGCTGTCGAGCAATATGGTGCCAGCCGCATTTGGCTTCTGGAAGCGGGCCTGGTCATGACAGACACAATTCTCAATCGGATTGTGGATTTTGCCGAGAAGCTGGAGACAGCAGAGGACATAGAGCAAGAGCTCAGCGAGTGGAACAATGTACATTGGTATGGTGCACAACTACTTGCGCTGCTCAATGACTACTGCTCCTCTCCTTCCATGCCTCCACCTCCACTCCTTCTGCCTGTGCCTGAGCCAGAACAGCTTTGTGTTCACAGTACAAATGATAGCTCCTCCGCTCCTCTTCTGGCCAATGCTGAGCAGAGCAAAAAACAAGCACCGCCTCATTGCAGCAACTGTGGAGAGGTCAGTCCTTATAGTGAGTGTCAACTGCGATGCTGGTATATATTATATTTACAGCTGCACGACCTACAGAGAATAACAAGAGCAAGTGTCTTGTGCACCCAGAACATCCCACCAACAACGAGTCGTCACCTCAGTGTGACACTCCTGCAGCCAATACTACCCTTGCTTTATCCGCATCTGTGCATAGCAGACCACCAGGTAGTCTTTCCGACGATGAATGAACGCTTGTGGGATCAACCGCGCCGACATCCTCAGGTACCGCCTTTGAGGCAAGAGCTATGCCTGATCAAGCATTGCAGCTGCCTGCATTCATATCCACTAATTTTCCCCTCACATCTATCAATGTCGCTAACATCTTGTCTACATTCAGCAGCCCACCTCGAATTTCATCTCTGCAGTCGAAACCATCTGCACCAATGTCTGGACTCCAATTAGTGGTGATGGGTGGCTCGTTCACATCATTAGTGACACAGCTCTTAACTATGTCTGAGTCAAGCTCTTCAACATCAACCATGGCACCAAGCATGTCTGGCTGGACACCCTTTGCCCAACAACCAGTATGTTGCAGCCCACGCCGTCCAATGCCAGGCGGCCGTCCCATTCACTTGGATGAGAATACTTTCTCCACAGCCAAGCTTCATATGCCCTTGTTCTGGTTTGCAAACCAGGCCATCGCATTGCCGTTCCACACGCCACAAGTGGCCGAACAGATGATGCAGCTTCATATTGCCTCTGAGCCACTGCCACTGTCACACTGTATGTGGAACACTAGTAACACTCTGGTATAATACTCTTTGTCTACAGGTCTTCCAGTTCCAGGCTGATATCCTCCTCATCAGGGTGTATCTCCTCATCAGCATTATCCCCGTGATCCTCTGTATTCTCCGGTGCTTCATCTATCACACCTGCCTCACCTGCCTCATTCTCTGTCTTCACCGTAGCATTGTTCATTTGTGGTGTATTTGTACCAGCTTGCTTCAATGCTTCGAATTCTTTCATGAACATCTTCTTGAGTACACATTTACTTTTGCATGTGCTATCAAACATGTACGAGAGCTTGGTATTCATGTGCTCGTGAAGCTTGGCATACATCTCTGTCATGTTGGGGTCAGAGTGATGGGTCAAGAGATAGCTTAGCACTAGATTCTTTTCCAAGGTAAGATGGCTGTCACGAAAGATGTTTATGAGCACCGATTATTTAATGATAGCTTCTACCATGTGATTGGGCCCTGGTACAATAAGCACGGCCTGCTGTAGTCTTATGTAAGTCACGGAAGTCTTCAGGTTGTGAAACAGCACCTTACCTTTGTGTACAGGTTCTGTAGCTCAACAACCCAATCGCTACCACGGAACTTTCCTGGACGACCTGTCAGATTGACCAGCATCGAGTATCAGACCACCCGTCTTGACAAATGGTCAGTTCTCTATCCATCTCGGGCCAACTCTGACTCACTTAAGCCCTGGTGGGTAGATGAAGTGGACATTCGTCATGTGCTTAATCATTTCTGCTGCATATTTGTGCTTCCTGACAGCCTTGAAGATGAGGGTCCATGGAACAAGGCATGCTTCGACCGATTCAGTGTTGCTGACATTCATTGCGTACGTCAGCTGCTCATAGAGCAAGTAGTATTTGTTGATGACCAGTCCGTTCTCAAACTGCTCGTCTCTCTCTGGCATGCTTTGGAGGGTATCGATGCGTTCGCCTGTGCTAACATATTGCATCGTAAGGTCAGCAGCAAGCTTCTATATGTCATCAAAGGTTGGTTCTGGCTCTGCCCACTTTTCTAGTGTTTCATGGCCTTCACACTTGTGTATTTCAGTCTGCCAGCAGTTCAGGTGTCGGCACCGTCGATTGTGAGTGATTATCTGATGCATCCTCCAAAAGCCTGGGTCTTTCCCAATGATGCCAGTCTCTTTCTCTTGTAGGATGGTGACATGGTGCATGACAGACATTAAATTGAGCCGTGCGAGCAGCGGCTGTATGAACATGTGCCAGATAGCATTGGCATAGGCCATCTTCAAGTGAAACAGGCTGAAGATGTAGATAACAAATTGCAGCCAGTCCCATGGACTCTTCTCGATCGCGCAGTGTTTCAATGCCTGGGCAATGCGCTTGCCTGTTCCCAGATCACCGTGGAATAGAACGATGTAGTTGTCAATGGGCTTTGGTCTCTTCATTTTGTCATCGTCATCCTTGTCATCTGAAGCATCACTGCTGGAGGTCTGTTGGGTCTGCGGCCGGTGAGGCGCTGAATCCTCTGAGTATATGCCCCTCTGCTTCAGTAAGTTTACGATTGTCTTGATATTTCTGGCAACTGTAAAATTGGGAATATTCATTGCCTTTGCAGGTGTGCACTCGGTCTTTGAGAGTGGAATGGCATCAAAAGTTTCAGGTGGCTCGAGGCTCAAGGCAAATTGGCAGAAATACTGCGGACCATAGAGGATCAGATCACTAGCAAATTTCCATTTGTTCCATCTGTCCATCTCATTCATGCCTGCCTGGTCATGTTCCCAGTTCTGTGGGTAGAGCTCAAGCATGCGCATGAACTCTGGCTTTAGCGCGAGCCCTGGATGATCGTCTGGGAGTGTATCATTAATGCACGATTGTTGCCACAAATATTTAGAGCACCAAAGATCAGCCTTCACAGTACCAGGAGGTAGGGATATAAATAAACCAGATGTAAGGTGCTTCAATAATGGTACACGTGATGCCTCCTGGGTCCATTTCACACTCTTGAGCATCACGTCGAAGTTATCGTAGCAGTATGCAACTAGCCATCTCCGGCCAAGCTTCCACAGGTGTATCATGGCATCGTCTGAGAGCAACTTGATTGCGCTGTAGATTGCTGACATGGAAATACTGACACCCATTCTGTTTAGAACCTCCGCAATCTTTTCCAGGGCATTATGGCCATGGAGAAAGATGCCAATGATGGACTGCAGTGCATTACAGCACTGGTTCACTGTAAACGTGAGCAGCACCAAAATACCTAGCTGCCGTTATATTTGAAGTCCCTGTGAGTATTCAGATGATATATGTAATGCACTGTACTGACGATATCGCGTATTGTTTCGCATCTCTTCTCAATGGTCTGAGTACTTGCTCACTTTCTGGTGACCTCCAAGTTCTCTCTTGCATTGCCTCCTATCAAATTCTCATCCTCCAGGCCCTCGACTTGCGCCAAATACTCGTCCTCGGCATCCCTCTCCTGTTTCTGCTGTGTTGTGCTTGCTGATCGCTGATTTGCATGCATCAAAGCCATCAACAGATGCCACAAAGTTGAGTCCAGGGCCTGCGCTCTTGCTGCCATTGTTTCCAGCTTGAATTTGGTTATCTGTTCAGCATGCGCAGAGAGCACGCTGAAATGCCAGCCACTGTCCTTCCTAACCAATGTCTGCAACTCTTCAGCACATGCCGCTTGATTGACCCCATGTACCCATTCTGATACAGACTGGTGATGATAGAATGCACTCATAAGCACATTAGCAGACATCAGCAAGTCCCACAGTAGATGTCCCACAGTGCCATTGTGATGCTCTGGCTCACCGCCATAGGTCAGGATGCACTCTACTAGACTAGCAAGCCGTATAGGCTGCGGCCGAGCATACAGAAAATGCGCAAGTTCAGCAACAAGGTTGATCATGGTGGTGTGATAGTATTGCATCAATTGCATAGCGTGCTGGGAGTGCGAATGTCCACACACAACAGTCTCCCAAAAATGGCAATTTGCCCTGGATTCGTGTGCACCAAGCTATTCTATATTACTGAATAACCGCATTGGAAATGATTATTTGGAGGTTTGCCAAAGCTGCCGATTGATGGCACTTCACATAATGTGCCAGTCGCCTGGGGACAGAGTAGCAATGTGCCAGTCAGTGACTAGTCATTTCAGTCACTAACTAGTCACAAGTCAGTCTGACTGTGACTGAGACTGAGCGGTCACCGGGTTTCCATCACGGGAAGGGCCACTGTTCAATCAGCATTCAGAACTCCATCACACTGATGATGCCCTCTTGCAGGGTCCATAGCAAGTAAAGCAAAATTGTAGTACTAAAATCAGAGATAAAATTCACTTCTTCTTGGCCACTGGCACTGCAGACATGCCCAGGATACTTTATTTCTCAATTAGTCTATGGCAGGGCTTGCACTGGAGGCATCGTTTGAGCTGGTAGGTGCAACACTAGATACAAATACTGTGCCAGGAAGATAACAATATGCAGAGTGCACAAGTGGTGAGTCCTTTACCGAGGTCCGAAGCAGTTCAAGGGTGTCTTGGCCCACGCTACCATTATGAGTGTCGCATTAGCTCAGGAACATGATAAACTACTTAGTACACATTGCTCCGTCTTCCAGCAGCCGTACGCATACCTATGTTTCCCACGGCAGTGTTGTGCAGTCAGTGACCGAATATGACT